GCAACGAATCCGGTTCCTTTTTACCTCAAGTGGCACAAACCTTCGGAAATGGACGTACCGGTCTTTTCAAGTTGCCTTTCTATGCACGGAACGCAACACCGAACCATCTGATCGACGGGTGATGCAGACATCTAGAAACACCAATTTGTTTTAACACTCCATTTCCAAAGGTAGTATTATATTCGGATGCGCATTGTTGAACCTGTTTAATAGTTCCGTTATGTTCGATGTGGCACTGATCACACAATAAATATCATCTCCGTACGGCATGTATGGCACACAGCCTTCGATGGGTGACTGTAATTGAGTGCTTTCAAGTTTCGCCAGAAGTCCGCAAAAAGCGGTCCCAGCGGAGGCTACACGGTCACGCCATTCTTTTATGGATAGAACTCATCGTTAAACTTGAACTGGGCATAATACATGCNCTTTAGGTCATCCAAAGGGAGGCCGAGTTCTATATTAGTAGCCTGTGCATAACTGCACAGGTTTCAATCATTTCGATGATGGGAGCATTTGTGAACAACGAGCTGAGGTCCAGCGAGAGCAATGTTCGATCGACGAATTTTGTTCATAAAAGTAAATGTACATTTGACACTGTGTTTTGCCAACTTAACTCGAACGGGTTCTAACCATTTGGCCAACCACTTTGCCAGGGCATGACATTGCGAGTTGCGAGTGTCCCTTCTATTTGGGCTGTCTTATCCCTGTCCGTCGGCTTGGTGAATCTCGACCGATCACTCAATACGGTATTCATCTTGTCTATGTAGTCCATTCGACTGAGCAGCTCTATTCCCGTCCCCTTACCCGGTTTGGACAGTAAAACATTTTCATTTTTCCGAAGTGTTTTTCCGAATGTGTTCTGTAGTCACTAATTCATTTGTATTTATCTTGACATTCTGACGCTGGTAGTAAGCATTCGCTAAGGTAGATTTGAGCTTTTCCAACTCCAATGAAGAAGAGGGAACCAGGTCAGAAACTTCTGCATATAGGTTTTTAAATTCCACCTCCATATATAATTGGTTTGATCTTCTAGTTGGAAGGCAGAACTTTGCTCCCACACTTCTAACAGCATTTTGTCCAAATTTATGCTTGATAGATTGTAAAAATATTGTTCGGGGTTGACAGGGAACTCACCCACTGGCTTGGTAGGGTTAAGCGGCACACGCAACGTGGTTCAGCTTCGTTCCACCTGTTTGGAAGCAACAGACGGCATAATCTTTAAAAGCCTTTGAAAGCCTCAGTATGGTCGGGGTGGGGGTCTGGGATCGTGACTGGTCACCATTTTCTTACACCTCGTAAAATGCTCCTTTATGACCAATCGTCTCAAACAGCCACTGCTGAAGAAGCTTAATCACTGCCTTCTCGTGGCCGAGGTGTTTTACCACCAACGTGAGAGGATGAATAGTCGACATCCGGGGCTATAATCAGGTTCGTGGACCACTAGTAGTTCACCTAGGTGAGTTGGCCAAAACCCTGATTTCAAACCAACCAAAAGGAGATGTACGAACCACACAACTTCCTGGTTGTGGTAGTGGTCAAGTTGAGCTAAGTAAAAACGGGATTAGTATTATGTGCGGCTGATAACGTACGTCAGCCGTAAAAAGTTTCAGCACCATGCTAAACCTGTATCCGCGGTAAAGAGCGAGCAACCGACGGTTAGCATTGAACGTCAGTTCCGTTATACCCGGGTTAGGTGGAGCTGATGTCCTCTTCTGCTGTGATGATCCCCTAGGGATGTGATTTTAACAATTCACCGAGGAATGTAAGGCTGAGAACAGGGTATATGAATGTAAAACACCAATGGCACGCACTATAACGCAAAACTAAGACATACATATACCATTACCGACTAAAATTGCCTCAACGTTTCCTAATTGTTTGCAACACTTTTACAGCGGTACAAGGTAGTGGGGAATGGTTCTACTTGGAAAAAATGATTGAAGTGACATGTTTATTGATTTCATTTTGCAGTAGAGTAATGGACATGGAATGGGAAAATAGAAATCCAAGTAACAAGTATCAGGAGGTAGAATCTTAGGTTTGGATATAAAGTTTCGTAAGTTTCGTAATTTCGACTATATTTTGCGAAGTAAGATACAGATTTAGGAGTGCGTATGGTCGTCCAAGTAAACTTTCACCATCGGACAGTAGAATTTGAGGCTTAGATATAATTTTTTTACAAGATTTTCAGTTGCGAATGTATCACAGTGCTAAACTTCAACTTGTATAAATAATTGTGCGGATTGGACAAAACACTTCTTCCATACAAAAAGCTGCATGCTTATAGTCGCCNCGCCTTCCAGTAGATAAAGATTAGCCAGTTCGTTCCATACCTCGAAATCGCTCGTGAATGTGTTAAGATAATGACGCAAACTATCGCTTGCCTCGGTAATTTTTTGCTGAGCTCTGAGCATAGCGATCATACGCTTGCGTGCCAGTGTATTCGTCGGATCCTTGTTCAGCAGCTGTGTAAACAGTATGTGCATCTTCAAACCTTCCTTCCTTCTCCAAAAAGAGCCCGGGAAACCGATAAACGCGAATCGTGCTGTAAGATGATCCAGACACTCCAACGCCAACATTTCATCCCTTCGTTGCTCAAAAATGATCCACTGTTCGTAACCAAGAGTAGATAGTTGATGAGAAATTGATTGGCTCCACCTCAGACGTTTGACATCGTTCAAAAGGCGTATGATCGGATGAACTGGACACCGGCCCCCAATAGGCTGCGGTTTTCACACCACTCCGATGCTCTGTGAGTCAGCCTTTGGCTAGCCGAACGGCTCCAGATCTGTATTCCTCAGGAAAAGTCATTAGCCTTGACCTGGGCAACCTGGCAGCCCACATGCGAATCGCGGAACGTTTTTCTTTTTTATAAAGATTATTGTAACACGATTTGTTTGGGACAGTCTGGCCTCAGACATGCGTGAAATATATATATATATATATATATATATCGCACACCACATAGCAAAACTGCAGGTCCTATTGGACCACATTCGTTGAGTCTGACCACACACTAGTTTCACTCTCCGACTGACTGGCCGGTGACAAATTCAGCGAACTCGTATGATTTATCATCGACTATCTGTTCCAGCATTTCGTGCGCGCTATGAATCAGAGCTAGTGCGCGAGCTAAGCGCGCGTGAACGTGATGATATAGATGAGCAGTGGGATCAGATTAGGCAAGCAAGGGATTCCGCAGCGAATGTTTCTTGTGGATCTCAACCTCAAGCCCATCGGAGGCATTGGATATCTCAGGAGTCAGTAATCCTGATGGAGAAAAAACGACGAGTCCCGACCTGCCAGGATGAAAATACAGTTACATGGCATCTACAACGTCAGCTCACGAAGAGTCTCAAGAAGGACCGTGAGAACTGGTGAGCAACCATAGCTAGTGAAATGGATGTAGCAGCTGCATCAGAGAATAGTCAGACTATTCCAACTGATACGGGAGGTCGGCGAACTACAGTCAGTGAAACAATCTGTGACAAGATGGAACAAGCTAACCACAATAGGAACGAACGACTTGATCGCTGGGCGGAGTACTTCAGCGAAAGGTTCAGCTGGCCTGCCGCTAATCAGGTTGCCTCATCCGCAACTAAAGCTCCGTGGGCAGTGTCATGCGATCCTCCAACGGAAGCAGAAGTTCGGTCTTGCATTCATGCTCTAAAACGAGGAAAGGCAGCAGGACCAGATGAGCTGCCTCCACTCTTTTCAAGATGGGAGATAATAACCTCGTAAGCTGAAATACTACATTACTGCGCAACATTTAGACACAAGAACGAATTCCTTCATCTTGGAGCGAATCAGTGATCATTCCCATTTTCAAGAAAGGATCTCGTAACGATTGCGAAAAACACCGCAGGATAAGTTTGATCTTGATCGTCACCAAAGTGCTAGCTTCGGTTATACTTCGATGTCTGACGCCTTTAAGAGAGACCAACATCCGTGAACAGCAAGCCGGATTCCGGCCTGACCGTGGATGTATTGATCAGATTTTTACGTTGCGTCAGCTCCTTGAGCTGCGTCATACTCACCGTCNACGTTAACCTACTGAGGTCACTGTACTCACATACCTCCGGTCGTGTAAGGGTGTACAATAAACTAAGTAGGCTGTTCGTCACCAACAGCGGCGTTCGTCAAGGGTACCTTCTTTTGCTGTTCCTGTTAAATTTCGTCGTAGGCGAAATATTGGAGAACGCACTAAGGGGACTCCAAAACGTAGGTATTGAATGGGAAGCTGAGGAAACGCTGTATGCTTTAGAATATGCCGATGATGTTGTCTGTCTGTTCGAATGTATGGAGGACGCACAAAGCACACTTGATAGATTAACAAGTGCAGTGGAAACATTCGGTATGTGCTTTGCACCTTCAAAGTGCAAAGTAATGCTACAGGATTGAGTATCGCCTACGCCCGCTATTAAACTAAATGGTCAGGAATTAGTTACGTTAGATTGCTTTTCCTTCTTTGGTAGTTGCGTGACCAATGACGGTAGCGCAGTGAGGGAGATAACTGCCCGCGTTTCCAAGGCTCGAGCAGCATATGCAGGACTGAAACACCTTTGGCGTAGACGCGACGTTTCACTGAAGTTGAAAGGTCGTGTATATTGTGCTAGCGTTCGTTCAGTCCTGCTTTATAGTTGTGAGACGCTGAATTTGATAGTAAAAGATATCTGTCGACTAGAGGTTTTCGATTATCGATGTTTACGCCGTTTAGCCCACGTGGGATGGAATGAACAGGTTAGTAACACGGAGGTAAACTGCCGTGTGTTTGGGGGTCAATCAGGGATAAACCTGCTAGCATACCGACTTCAGATTAGTAGACTTCGCTGGCTTGGGGCACGTATTGCGTATGCCCAGCTATCGTCTACCGCACCGCGCTTTATTCGCTGTAGTTAATCCGGGCTGGAGGAAACCGCTTGGAGGTCAACAGGTGACGTGGAGACGAGGCATGAAGAAATGCACAGAGCCATTAGGTAGAGTAGGTGTATCTCGCCTTCCAGGTTGGCGTTCGAAAGACTCCATAAATGGTTGGTTGGAGACATTGAAGGATATGGCAGCGAACCGATGGCAGTGGCGTTCTTGTTGTCATTTCTTATCAGGCCAGAACGCTTGAAACGGTATGTATGCAGAGTTCGAATGTGTACTCTGTTTGTTGACCATAGTGGTTCACCTTCTTCTCCCTCCCTCAAATTAGGTCTAATCCCTGTCCACCTTAAATTTTACCACTGACCCTGTATGCATCGTGAGTTTGGCAGCGATCAGTGAAGTTCGCTTCACTGTATTTCGCTATACGATGATGGTGATGATCGCACACCAGATTCGCGCATCTTCAATTCCGTGAGGGCACCTGATGCACTTGTCAAGTGTGGATAGGAACCACACATCCAAAAGGCAACCACCTGACGCCCAAAAGAGCATAACACGGACAAAACAGAAAGCAGCAACAAAGTGAATGACACGTTAGATGAAATTAGGTCAATTGTGGACGGTTTTGTTGACAGTTCATCGCGCAGCAAAGCTTCAGATGCAGCGACTATGGTGCGACAACCCGGGACTGATTGCAATTCTAACGGAGTCCTTGACACAATCAATCCAATCCGATTCAATTTTCCAGGGCGTAGAGGCCTCCGCCCTACGGTTGTCCTGATTCTGGCTCGACCTCGCTGATAGACGGATCCGCCTTGCAGCACGGTTGATAGTTCCACGAATCTCCGAGGATACGACGTTCGGATGCAATAGTTGTCGCACCTGTTTTCGGCAACGCTTAAAACAAAAGGGCATATCGTCTTCTCGCCGTGTCGGTGAGAGAATTACGTATGCTTTAGCTTTCCGGTGAGTGCGTGCAGGTTGTGTATACACTTGGAACTACAAATGCTTGGAACGGATTATCAGGGGGCAAATACGTGAGCTCCTAACGACCCACAACTTGTTGGCACCTATGCAGCATGGGTTCACCAAGAGAAAATCATGCCTGACTAACCAGCTTGCCTTTTTGGATGAGGCTACTAAAAAGCTAGATGAAGGTCAGCAGGTTGAGGTCTGTTACCTCGACTTCTGCAAAGCCTTCGATTCAGTCAGTCATATTGTTTTTATTACACGCGCGTTGAATCTGATCGTGCATTAGTGTTGATGNGTTGATGCAGTTCACTCTCCAACTCACTGGTCACAAAAACCCACCAAACACGGTTGCCAGATCATCGTTTATCTGACCCAGCCATTTGTGCTCGTTTTGAATCAGAACTAGAGCAAGAGCTAAACGCTCGGCGGGCTAGTAGTGTAGATGA